CCGAACTCTCTGGCTACGGGCATGGGATTTGAATGTCTATTCTGTAAAGAATTGCATTACATACATTTGCATGCGATTTTGAAATTTTGCATGGGATTTAAGAGTATTTAAAAGAAATATTTGTAAAAAAATCTTCATAGGATATAAACATTTCTGCACAATACTGTGGAAATAAGGGTACGTTTACATGTATATCACAGAGTATGTTGCTGTAATTGCTCCCCCCAGCACTTTGCAGCAGATGACCCTGAGTTCTACAAGACCAAAGTGCAGTATATAGAGACTAACGATGTAGAGGACATGGAGCTGAACTTTACTGAAGAGGTTTATGATGTCATGGGGAAACTAGTCAAGGTCAGAAGGAACGTTAAATTTCATTTGTAGTAGATAAATACCATGACTCTTAAATGATATCTTAAGGTCATGCTCATACAAGTTTTTTGTTTCCCATATGTATTCAACTACTGCATCTAATACCACACAATGTCATGTACCTAGGAACAAAGGCAAACACACAGACAGACACACCCAAACATAATACACTGGTGCACCATACCTGGACTTGTAATTTTCTGCCATTCCCAGACTGCAGAGCTTGTCCCTGGTGGAGCCCACATGCCCGTCACAAATGACAACAAGCTGCGGTACCTGGACAGTCTGGCACAGTACCGGCTCGCAGCTACAGTACAGGAGGAGCTGGAATACTTCCTAAAAGGTTGGATATAGTAACTGTACATCACTCTCAGATTTACCATCCAGTATGGTCTTTTTCCGAATGGAATTTTAAAAAAATATTTCAAACATAATTCAGATAAACAAAAATGTAACGCTTAGCACACAAAAAACTAGAAATGGATGGAAAGTTTGATATTTTCACAAAATCATAACATTCATTTAACAGCATCAAATTTGCCCAGTTTGCAAATTTGCCCTGTGTGCAAGCTGTTCAGGAAGCTAGGTTGACCATGTGTAATCTCCAAGCAGATTCTGTGGGGCAAGGGGAGCATATGTTGGCCACATGTATGCATTGGCTGGGATAATGAAGCTCCAGTGTATCCATGTGGGGTGGCCAATAGGTACAGGAGGCCAATATAGCAGGCTACCTTTTCCCCACAAAATCTGCTTGCACATTAGCCCAGGTGCAAGTTAGTTTCTCAGAAATAGAAGACACCCAGCCAAAGTAAAGTGATCCCATTGCAGATGAAACAAGGGACAGAACTTGACTGACACGCAAAGCAGGGCAGATTTAATTGTACCTCTCCCTTATTGTGCTACTTGCATGACTGTACTGTGTGATATTTTGTGCTGATGTAGGCCACATAATGTTCTATGACTGCTATTTTCTCTACCCAGGTCTGAATGAGCTCATCCCAGACAATCTCCTCAGCATTTTTGATGAAAATGAACTTGAGGTAATTTTCTCTTATTTGAACCAGGGAGATATGAAAAAAATCAGTCTGTGCTGGTTCAGCTACTTTGGTGATTTTTGATAATGAAAACCAAAATAGGATTGATGTGACCTGGCCTTGTGGTCCCCTGCAGCTGCTGATATGTGGGACTGGAGACTACAGCATAGCAGACTTCAAACAGCACTGTGAGATCCAGGGAGGAGCATGGGGCTTTGAGAAGGTTAGTGCTGGTGAAGAGTTTTATATCACTAGATTGACCAATGCTGGGATTAACAACAGATTTGTAGTGATAGTTGGTATTGAATCAATGTTTTTTGCATTTGGCTAATAATCTTTTTTTTTTAATTTAAAGGTTTGGTTGGTAACCCTAATTGAATGTTTTTTGGTAACCCTAATTTAAGTTTTTCTAGTAACCCTAATTTAGGGTTTTTGTAACCCAAATTTAGGGTTTTATTTACCCTAATTTAGGGCTTTTGGTAACTCTGATTTAGGGTTTTTGAATAAATTATCATAATTTTTCTAAACTGGACACATGGTATACTAAAAGCCCCCGAGGCATCGCCAAACCCAAAATACCTTCTGGAGGTCTGAAATGTATGATTTCTTGTTAGGCCACACCAATTTAATTTGTTGGTTCTCGGATTTTTTCAGAAAAAATATGAAGCGACAGGGCGAAAAAAATAAAAACAGGTCTAGGCATCCTATTATAGCCCCAAATGCTACAATATGAGCCATGAAGTCAAACAAAAAAGGCTAGGGTTAAAATTTAAAGTATAAATTTTGAACTTTTAATCAAACCACTGCATTGATAGATAGGAAAAAACTGTAACAACTAGGAAGAAAAGGAATTTCCTCAACTGTTGGGGCAAAATATGAGCATTTTTGAGTTGATTCAGAACCAGAATTCTTTTTTTTTTTTTTTTGCAAATCAGAAAAAAATGAAGAGGCGAATCCGAGAACCAACAAATTAAATTGGTGTGGCCTATACAGACGAGATATGAAAGAATAGCATTGTTTGTGCCATGTAGCGTCAAAGGCGTCTGTCCTATGGTAAACAAACATTTCACTGGCACTGCAAAATCTGGGTAAAGACAAAATGTAGAATTAATGTCTACATGTAATATATGTTGC